TCGAGGTCCCTCCAGTGTCAAAACATAGAAAACAAAAAACAATGAATGCTCACAAAACGCAAAATTGTGACTACAAAATGTCGACTGGAAGACAGAGAGAAAGGTTGATCTCGTCATTTGCCATTACTACCAAGCTTAAAACTAAAAGCTGCAGATAATCTCTGGTTTAATATGCTGTCAACAATCGTCGCTCCGATCTTCCAACTTTTGTGGCTACTAGTTTGTATGTGAAGTTTCAATATTAGGCATTTAGAGCGATCTCAAAGTTTTGTTGTTGTATGCAACGGTTGAAAAAGTTCTCACCTTCATATTGTTTTCTATGTTCTGACACTGGAGGGACCTCGAAAACAAAGGACTTTACCTTCGTGTTGTTTTCTATGTTCTGACACTGGAGGGACCTCGAAAACAAAGGAATTCTACCTTCGTGTTGTTTTCTATGTTCTAACACTGGAGAGACCGCGAAAACAAAGGAATTCTACCTTCGTGTCGATTTACAATAAACAATAAAGTTGCATATACAGCTTACCTTCTAAACACATTTGATTGAGATCACTCTTCCTTTGCATATACAACTTACCATCTAAACAGACTAATATTTCTCGATTTACAATAAACAACAAATATTTATTTTTCTTAGAGACCACATTTCTATCGATAATCATGGCAATATTAAGTTAAGTGTACCTATAAATGAATAAACCTTATGTTCAGCCAGTGTAGAATCACGAAACTAACAAACAAGACAAAGTATGCTGTTGAATTCTAACGAAGTTTAGCGAAAACCCGTGAAAAAAAAAACAGTGAAATTTATTCGAAAGGCAGAACAAAGAATGTATTTAATTCAAACTTGAATTCTAATTCAAGTTACTTTCTAGTCGTTGTCTATTCACGAAATGATTCCTGTTTCGCGACCACACTTGTGCACATGCAAGCTGAACTTATGCATTTGCGTATGTTAATTTCACTAAACTCCAAAACGGGTCCTTGTAATTCAGAAGAGACTATTAGCTCTAGCGTGACAATTACTTAGGTATGAAAGTTTAGTTTAATATATAATGTTTAGTAAGCACGAAGAATTCCAATCATCCCAATGGCATCGTGCAAAGAAACCACAGAGCGGCTAATCTTTAATTATACATGCGCATGACGTTTTAAGACAAAAATAAAGTTAAATATTCCCCTAAAGATATATGTCCAGTCTCAACCTTACCATGTTTGTTCAGCAGTCTGTATATATTCCACATTTCATCTAACCTTATTGTTAGTTTCTATTCATTTCTGCCTGCACGTGACAAGCAACCACGCACGTGCATGTTTTTTAGACATGAGTTTTACACAAAACACATTATTATGCTAACTGTATAGTTATGAAAAGTTAACAGATAAAAAAAATATATATTTTGCAAATTTCTAATTCTACCAGATCTAATCAAGCTGTTTTTATCTGTTCTTCAAATGTACAGCACGAGACATTTCCCTGCACATGCAGCTTACTTTCTAACACCTATTTGATTATTACTACTTTTCCCTTGCATTTATATCTTACCTTCTAAACACAAATTTGATTCGGATTACTCTTCCCTTGCATATACAGCTTACCTTCTAAACACAAATTTGATTCGGATTACTCTTCCCTTGCATATACAGCTTACCTTCTAAACACAAATTTGATTCGGATTACTCTTCCCTTGCATATACAGCTTAGCTTCTAAACACAAATGTGATTCAGATTATTCTTCTCTTGCATATACAGGTTACCTTTTAAACACAAATTTGATTCAGATTATTATTCTTTTGCATATACAGCTTACCCTCTAAACACACATTTGGTTGAGCTGTCTCTTCTTTTACATATACAACTTACCATCTAGACAAACATCTCGTTGTTATTACTTTTTTCCTTGCATATACAGCTTACCTTCTAAACACACATTTTATCGATTTTTTTTTACCCCGTTTCTCCAATACAATTTTAACGTATCTTACTCAAAACAATGTTACGCAACAAGGGTATTACAAAAGTATACTGGTTAGCGAGAACATTATATAAGGGAAAACGTGAGAGGACACAGACCTAAGACCTGCGATAGTAACGTGAAATATTTTACAGCTGATGCACCTCAGTTTGTAGAACGTCGTAAACCGTTAGAACAGATAACATCAGGAGGCGTATACGCAGCTAAGACACGTGAGAAGTTATCTAGAACTGACGCAAAAAGGTCTATATCCGTATATATCCCTTGACATACAAGTATTCTTTACGAGGTGAAACAAATGTGCTACTTTATCTTTGTGTGTTCTGAGAGTGCTTATTCGTATCCTTGGAGTCAAAGCTTACAAAATCTTCAACTACATTTACCCACTACAAACTTTCTGATCACGAGAGTAGTAAAGAGCTCGACCTGATAAAATAAACCTTGCTCATTAAAAAATTCCTTCCGTCTCTGAAGTACACGTGGTCTTCTTATAAATTAACACTGTTCTAATTTGAGTTGTTGTTGTTGTTTTTTTTACTTATATTTAGCTCTGTATATTTATTCTGCAATCATATTTTTTCTGCTTCTGATGATGAAATTCTTGTTATTCTTAAAAATGTAATAAACATTTTTTGTGTCCCCTCATTCGTATTTTGTTTTGTGATAAACTTAAGGGCCAATCTTGCGCTGTATGTTACTGATGCTCTTAATCTTTATTTACATCCTGTATAAGATGAAGATGCTCTCCTCTACAAGGTGCTAAGATGAAGATAAGTCACTTTCGTTATTTCAGCGAAAGTGGCTGCGGAAGTAGAGAAAATAACCTCTTCTTATCTATATCAGCTAAAAGTAGAGCGCAACGTCCAATAATTTCTTAACGTTATAATATTATTATATAATTATTATATAAACATAATAGTACTGCCTGTTATCTGTTGTATGTCCATCTAACTACTTCGCAGGGTGTGAATGGATCGTCACCAAAATTGTTATATAAGTTAATTAGGTCTATGCGGGAATACATACAAGTTTTCAGTTTTGCATTTTCCGTTTTGCAGCTTTTATGAGCATTTTTGCTTTTTTACAGCTATTTCGCCCCCTCTAAATGGATCTTCACCAAATTTGGCATGAAGGTTTGTTGGGTCCATGCGAAAATACACGCAAACTTGCGTTTTTACATTTTGTGTTTTGCAGTTTGTATAGTTGTTTTGCGTTTTTTACAATTACATATAAAGGAAACAACTTTTTACGTCCTAATATAACCTTTCATTAATCATGAATTTACATTATTTCCGTCCAGCTAGTTATAAATAAAACTAATATAATATATAGACACTATATGATGCATGGTTTAAGTGTTTATTTGGTTCATTCTTCAACTCCAGTGATGGAGACATTATCGGGACCAACTTAGTTAACGTTGGCCTCACAATGACTGGGTATTTTGTTTTATTTAATTTAGTGTGGTTAGATGAGGTAGGTTTGCGCTTTTTAAAGCTTTGATTTTTGGCGCAAAGCCACATAGTAGACTATCTGTGCTCTCTCCACTACAGGGATCCGAACCCCAGATTTTAGCGTTATAAGTCCGCTAGCTTACCGCTGACTCACCTGAGGAACAATGTTTGAAAAACTAAGCATGTTTTACTCATTGCTTTTAGGAGATTACTTTACATGATTTTACAAGTTAATCAGATTGTAAAGCCACAAATCGTGAGTAAAATCCTAATAAAAAATCTAGTATTTACTACTCTTCTTTAAAAGTCAAATTCATATAAACTATAAAATAAAGAAAATGTTGACATTAGTTTTCTCTTCATATAAATATGTCAAATAAACAGGTTAAGCCTACAAAACAAGAAACCCAAAGATACTATTACGTTCATAAACAGTTCGTAAAAGTTCCTTGAGGTCGTTCTCAATGAGAAATAAACAACTCTTATATGTATCATTTATTTACGACATAAAAGTATGATGCTGTTTCTAAATTCTCATTTACTCTCCATTTCATCATACAGCTTGAACCAATACTAAGATCCCAACTGAGCACCGCAATACCAAAATCGTTTTCTTAATCATCAACAAGCTTACTGAACAGGATTAAGTTACTGTATGACAGAATGGCACATTAATAAGAACAGTGTGTGTGGCTACTTGGACACTAAATGACAAAACGTAAACGGTTTCGGTTAAAACGTCACCCACATGCGTAAAATAAAAGAAGGAATGAAGGATGTCCATATTTTTCCATTTTTAAAAGCAAAATTTATAAACATGAACTGTTTTCAAAACGTTTTATTCTAAATAATTCCGAAATACGTGTTTATGTTACGGAGAAGAACCAAGTATTTGGTTGGTAAATTACAACATTAAAACTCAACCCATTGTCTGATATTGTAAATATTCACTGAGCATGCGTAATGTTTATACATAAATGTACGTGTATATGAATGTGCATATATATATATACTTATAAGCAAAAAAAGAGACAACAAGAAAGCATTGTACTGGCAATAAAATAGTTGAGTATTTTGCTGAGAAGATCCTCTGTCCTATTAAGTATATAACATAATTCAAACAAAATAAATTCTAAATTAAGTTACATTTACATATTGTAATACCCAATAAAATATGAAATAAAAAAGATATTTCCAACAAATCTATAAAAGTAAACAAACAAGTTTTCCCAGAAAAATATGTGGTTCTGCTAATATAAAACTGACAAATGGTCAAAACCAGGAAATTGAATTATTAGGTTCGTGTTTAACCTGAAGATCGAAGTTATGTTCAGCAGTTATTTAACCTCTGTTAGGATTCATTTTCTTGCATAAACGAGGTCGTTTACCTGTAATAAAATAGCCTCTGGGAAGGCTGTGAAGACTCGGCAAGGCCGCCCTAACGTTTTTGAAAGCTACAGTATTCATTTATTCACACATACAATGAACAACCTCAAGAGGCGTAACTTATTTTCTTGTAGCTTTAAATATTAAGTAATCAAATATATAATTTTTAAAGAAAATTAATTACTTGCCATCCTGCATGAGAATTCCACGTCTTGAATCTATGTTAATTCTAAATCTCTGTGTGTAGGAGAGTGTTACAGTAACGCCATACAAGGCGAGACAAACTTGCTTGAAGAAATCTCTAGCTGTTCTCAGCAACCAATCGTTCAACAGTCTGCTTGAACCCTGGCCGGGACAGATTTCCAGTTCCGGCTCCTTGCCAGGTTGAAATGTGCCTACTCTGGACCACCACCATTAGTGCCTGCCGACGACCTCGCGTGACCGCGAGCCTAGAATATGACTAATGAGCAACAAGCCTCACGTGCTGCTCGTGAGATAAGGGTTTTCTATAGCAAGTGCTTTCAATGGCCAATGTTGCATTATATCAGTGATCAGTAAGGAAAAGTGTCACAACGTGCTGACCCACTTCCACTGCAGTATTAACTTCCTCTTCAGTATCAACGTGGTATCTCTCTCTGAAAAATATTACTCGGGCAATAGGAAACGAACTGGAACCTCTGAACGCTAGAAATTCGGACTTTGATTATTAACATAGTTAACTGAATTGCAAATATTCGTGTATTACACAGGCTAAAAGTAGCATATTAAAACATTGAGGTCGGATTTTTGTTTTACACATTTGAAAAAAACCAAGTTATAATGGACTTGTTCTTACTCCATATATAAAATACAAGTAGCCCACTCGCATGAGTTTTTAGTGTAAAATTAAGTAATTATTATTTATAGCTTATGATGTTCATTATATACAAGCTTCGCAAACACGTTACAGTATTTTCAATGTCTATATTGAGATATCACTGCAGAAGAAAGATAGAAGCTGATATTCTATTGAAATCGTGAGCGTAGACCGTTACACACTTGGCCCATTGTGAAAGACAAAATAGGTAGAGAGATGTGGTAACATCACTGCACGAATACATCAACTTTTTCCACATATTACATGGGTGTCATTGATTGGACGGTGACAACTACGCTCGCTCACGAGACTTGCGAGTTATCCTCTATATCGAATGTGTGCGCAATTGTACAAAGACTAAGTAGCTAATTTTAGATCGAGGCCACATAAAAATACACTTAGCGCCGAAAACATTGAACAACCAATTATTTCAGGTCTTCTGGATCAAACACAACGCACACGAGCGACGAAAGATTTGCTGAAAGTACCACAGATTGGCTTTACATCCGGGTAACATGTTGCACAGATTTGTAACATGTGTGACTATAAAATTAGAAATAACTATTTGAATCAAATGTAAACAAGAGGTTTCTATATGTAATATTTTGCAGTATAACTTCTCTCCACAATAAACTTATATAATACATTGTACTACTGCTGTATGTGTACACTAAGCATGGAAATAACAAATCACAAAGACATTTTAACAGCTGAGGACAGACAGAAACCCTGAAGAAAATGTTAAAATATCCTGGTTTTGTTTTACCACGTAACATCACATCACAAGCCATTTAAGTAACTGAGGACACACAGAAACCCTGAAAAAAGTTATACTATTCCGGTTTTGTTTTACCATGTAACGTCACATTAGGAGACATTATAACACCTGAGGATACACAGAAACCCCGAAAAAAGTTAAGCTATTGTGAGTTTGTTTTACCATGTAACGTCACATTAGGAGACATTATAACACCTGAGGATACACAGAAACCCCGAAAAACGTTAAGCTATTGTGAGTTTGTTTTACCATGTAATGTCACATTAGGAGACATTATAACCTCACAATAGCTTAACGTTTTTCGGGGTTTCTGTGTATCCTCAGGTTTTGTTTTACCATGTAACGTCATATAATCTAAGTAAAAAAAAAGAATAGTTTTGTCGTTTGTTTTGTTACACATCTTCCCAACAATGATGTAACCCAAATTCAGTAAAACACCCACCAAAATTCGTTCTACAAATGTAACTGAGTCATTTCAGTTGCGTTCTGGTAATAGAAGAATTGCGTAGGTGAAGAAATTACAAAATGTAGAACAAAGCAAACAAGGTGAAATACTCAATAAATTAAAATAAGTTGTGACAAATATGAAAACAATGTTTTGTGCAAGAGTCCTTCGTCGAGTTCCCAGTGAAGAGAAGATAGCTTTTAGAAGAGATAAAGTAAAAGAGAAGAGTAAACATGTAAAGCTAACGATTTAAACCACTTATGTATATAATGAACAAAACAGAAACCCACAAACTACATAAATCAAACGTATCAACCACATAAATAAAAGCTACCAGCCACATAAATCAAATAATCAAACCTATCACCCACATAAATCAAACGTAACAATCACAGCAATCAAACATACAAGCCACATAAATCAAACGTACCAACCACTAGTAAAAACTAGGGGACACAAATATAAATTTTGGAAAGGTAGGAGTCATCTTCAGCTAAGACAGTTTTATTTTTCTAACAGAGTTGTTGGCCTCTGGAATGGGTTGCCTTCGGATGTTGTGAAGGCAGTAAATTTAAGTGAGTTTAAGAGAAAGCTTGATAACTACATGAATGATAAGGGCTGGTTTTAAGATTTTTTTTAAATATATTTATTTAATAGTCTTAGTTTAGTTTGGAAGATGGGACAGCCGAGATAGACCAATAGGTCTCTTTTTTGACCCGAAATTTTATATTATGTTCTGTTAACTCAAAAGCTCTAGTTTCAAAATCAAACCTTCAAACCACATAAATCAAACTTACAAACCATTTAAGTCAAACACATCAGTCATGAATCAAATGTATCAACCTCATTAATCCACACAAATATCACTTCTATTCTCTTGTTAAATTTTAAATATTTATTATCAAAAAATGTGACACTTTTTATATTATCTGCAAACTGATAAGTATAAAAGTGGGTATATTAGTAAAAAATGGCATTTTTCCAATTATTTACAACTTGACATACATAAGAGTGTAGATTCTTACAGCTCAAAACTACTTGAAGATTCAAGATTGATGGAAACTCACAATGCGCTCTCTCTTGGAAATGGGTTATACAGTTGAAGTTTCTCGCTCATTGTAATATACTAGTTGGAGTACCCGTCTCCTGGACGGAATTTATGTAAATTCATGATTAATGAAAGGTTATCTTAGGACATGAAAAGTTGTTTCCCTTATATGTAGCTGTAAAAAACGCAAAACGCCCATACAAACTGCAAAACACAAATTGTGAAAACGCAAATTTGCATGTATTTCAGCATGGATCCAACAAACCTTCATACCAAATTTGGTGAAGATTCATCTAGAGGGGGGCGAAGTAGTGGTGAAAAACGCCCATAAAAACCGCAAAACGAAAAGTGCAAAACTGAATATTTGTATGTATCCCAGCATGGACTTAATGAACCTCCATACCAATTTTGGTGAAAATCCATCCACCCCCTGCGAAGTAGTTACATGGACATACATCAGACAGTACTCTTATATTTATATTGATATATAATAAATCATCAGGGAAGAATAGACTTTTATTTCGTAGCAAAAAAAAACTTTTTTAATGAAACTTAATTAGGCTAACTCAAAAGAGAGATGGCTATAGTGAAGTGCTATTTTTATACACAAATCACTGTTTCTTGCAGATTTCATGCAGTAATTTTTTGTTCTTAATATTATAAAGAATTTCTTGCAAACCGAAACTACTTCTTATAAAAATAGAAGCATATATACTTTATAATAATTCCATAACGTCTATACGTTAACTTGCTTATTGTTAAAGCGTGGGAATATAATCGTTTTAGTGGAATCGTTTGGTTGAAGTCATTGTTCTGTGGTTAAACCTTGCAGTGACCCTGTGAAGAGACGTTCCTCAAGAAAAATGGCCGTCATTACGTCCGCCCACCCAAGCCCATTACACTTGGAATTCTGTTCGAAAGAATATACAACTGCTTGTACTAGCTGTTAACCCGTCGTACTGAAGCAGTTAACATAAATTAGGTACTAAACTGTAGTCTGCGGCAAAGGCTTTCCATGATCCAAAGTGTGGCGTTTCTGTAGAAACAAAGTGCTGAAACGTTATGGTTGCCCTACGCCCTAGTCCCCAAAACTTCTTGTGTTTCAAACTTATATGGACGCCTTTGTGGCAAGAGAAAGGGCCGTTCGAGATCATCCATCAGTCTAAAGAACGCTGCTTATTAAACTGATAACAAAGGTTTGTCTAAAGAACAGCAAACACGTAAGGGAAACATTTAAGCAACATATGACCTTTTTGCTCTTATAAAGAATTAGGTGACTTCTGTTATGATCATTAATACTGATACTTATTTTCAACGAACAAAGATCTAAATATTAAGAAGCCAATCAACCCTGGAATTTGATTGCACAAACACCAATGTAACATCGTTTCTTTAGTTCATTCTTCTTACAAACAAAGAAAACATAAAAAAAACTATGGTAAAACGTGATGACTGCATGCAGTCTGTTTTGTTCACTTTTACCTATTCAACATTAAACATAATTTTCAGCGAATCCAATAATCATAAAAACCGTTAGACTCTTCTGTCTGACCTATTGTCATAGCTAGCCAAGCTCGAAGTCTAAAGCCTTACTTCACAACACGGAATGTATTTTCACCTGAAACGTATGTATACATAACAGAGAAACCATTTAATCCTAAAGAGCATTTTGTAGTATTGCGCAATGATACTCTATTGTAAGTTACTTGGAAGATAATCAGTTTCACTGCCTGTAAAAAGTCACTATTCAAACAAGTGAAAAGAAAGAACACAGATTTGAGAAGCTCAGTAAAAGAGGAGTAGATAAAGTAATAGAGCACAGAGTCTCTGTTTCTGTATTTCTAGGATTACCGCCACATTATAAGGCAGAAATGCGTTTTATTGTGAGGAGAAAAAATATATAAATATTTTCGAACAATTTGTAACATCAGAAGTACAATCCAACAGCAGCAACGCCTGCGACAAATTTTAAAACTAAAAGCTAATTCAGATGAAACTTGCCCGTTTATCCAAAGAGTCTCTATTGGTTATAAGTAAATGATGTTAAGCTATTATGTATCATTAGAAAAGGAGAAAAATTCGAATTTCGAGGATGTAATGTGTCACAGGCGTGTCTCATTAAAGTGTAATATCTTTCTCTCATACACACGCAGGCACATTCACCAGAAGAGATGGTCGACTCGATTACAAGGATTATTTTAATAAGTTATTCTACAATTTTTGTGCTAATTTTAACACGAGTGTGAAGTCACAGAATCTCCTTACCTTTGATGATATCTTAATGTAATTATACCAATAACAAGGCCATAAACAAAATGCGTCACCCACAAAAGACAGATAACTAAAATTAAGATGCAAGAGGAATTGTGTGAAGTGTAGAATGTACCTATAAGGTGTTCGATCCCATAATGTTCAACTACAGGGTGTTCGATCCCATAACGTTCAAATATAGGGTGTTCGATCCCAAAACGTCCCATATAAAAAAATACCGCATCAAGTCAGCTATAAGATGGTCGTTAAAAAAGTTAAGTTAAAAATTACAATCGGGCCATTCGGGTGAAAAATAAAAATTATCTCTTGAAGCTGGTATTCTAGCCCCCACAACGGTCGC